TAGACACGGTGAAGGGTGTTTTACCAAAATACGGGAATTATCAGCATGTGTTGCCAAAATACGGGAAAAGTTAGGGTTTTTTAAAAAAGCGGGAGTCGGAATTCGGTCTTCCGACTAGAGGTAGGAGTTTTGGAAAAATATTTGTCCCACTCCAGTCGGATATGCCACTTCCGACAAGGGAGTTTCTTTAATTTTTTATTTTTAAATTCCTGGTGCAATTATTACTTCTCAATAAAGTTTTTTTAAAATAAAGTTTTTTAAAATAAAGTTTTAAATTCCTATCGGAATTGTTAATTACGAATGTAAAAGTTTTTTTTTTTAAATTCGTGTCATAATTTTTAAAATGAAAATTATGCATTTTAATTTTTTGAGTTACAAAACATTGATTCATTTATTTTATTTTTTAACCCATGCATTTCGTGAATTAAATGAATAAAATAAAATACAAATTTGATTTTGTTTCAAATGCAATTTTTGTAATTTTAATGGAAGTGAACAAAACAAATGTAGTGATGGTACCATGGATTAAGACCATGGCCCAATTACATAGTCCAGCCCATAAACGGGATTGGCCCTCGACGGGACCAGCCTAATTACAGGATTAGCCCATAAACGGGATCGGCCCTCGACGGGACCAGCCTAATTACAGGATTAGCCCATAAACGGGATCGGCCCTCGACAGGACTAGCCTAATTACAGGATTAGCCCATCAACAGGATCAGCCCTCGATGGGACCAGCCAAAGTACAGGATTAGCCCACAAACGGGAGAAATATATTCAATAATACCATGAATCCCGTTTGTGGGCTAATCCTGTACTTTGGCTGGTCCCATCGAGGGCCGATCCTGTTTATGGGCTAATCCTGTAATTAGGTTGGTCCCGTCGAGGGCCGATCCTGTTTATGGGCTAATCCTGTAATTAGGCTGGTCCCGTAGAGGGCCGATCCCGTTTATGGGCTGGACTACGTAATTGCGCCATGGTCTTAATCCATGGTACCATCACTACATTTGTTTTGTTCACTTCCATTAAAATTACAAAAATTGCATTTAAAACAAAATCAAATTTGCATTTTATTTTATTAATTTAATTCACGATATGCATGGGTTAAAAAATAAAATAAATGAATCAATGTTTTGTAACTCAAAAAATCAAAATGCATAATTTTCATTTTAAAAAATATGACACGAATTTAAAAAAAAAAAACTTTTACATTCGTAATTAACAATTCCAATAGGAATTACTTTATTTGAAAAAACTTTATTTTAAAAAAACTTTATTGAGAAGTAATAATTGCACGAGGAATTTAAAAATAAAAAATTAAAGAAACCCCTTGTCGGAAGTGGCATATCCGACTGGAGTGGAACAAATATTTTTTCAAAATATTTTGGTAAAACACCCAATTCACTTTATTTCGAAACAAAACAAATAGTTCCTCAACCTTGTCGGAATTGCCAAATCCGACAGGAGGAGGAGGTCCATTCGAAAATCTAAGCCTAATCCCTAGTCGGAATTGGGAGTTCCGACTCCCGTATTTTGGTACCCTAATTCTCATTCCCGTATTTTGGCTTGCCAGACAAAAAAGTCCCGTGTTTTGGTAATCGGTGAAGGTTAATGACTGTAGCACTTGGCGATTCGAGATCTCAATGACGTTCAAACGTTGCCCATTGTGCCTGCATAAATTAAGAAAGGAAAGAAGAGCCTCAATGAATGCATTATGCCAAGAATGGTTGAAAAGGCTTTGAAAGTGGTGTGTGATTTTCTCCCCTTTGTGATTACGAATGATGAAATCAAAGTTGTGGGTATGACCATTAGGGGAGTGGGCGATATTTAACATGAAGTGATTAATCGTAAGAGATCTCGAGGTAACAATGGAAGGGTAGTTACTCTTACGGGATTTTTCCACGGTGATAGGGACATTAAAATTACTAAGATCCCTATGTGTGTTGTATATGGCCTCAGAGTTATTAGGTGTGATATCCTTATAGAGAGTGGCGTTTCTCATTTTCCAAAGGTTCCGAAGAATAGTGGCATAACAAATGAAATTTTTATTTTAGGTCCATTGTAGAATATTGTCCTTCAAATTGCCATTCAACCGGTGATTAGGAATTTCAAAATGTTCCCAAATGAATGTATGAGAGGGGCAACAGAGGAAGTAATGATCCAAGTAATCCCAGTGACTGCAATGAGGACATTTGAAAGGACCAATAAAACCCATATTGGTGAGAGATACAACAGTAACCACCAAGTTATTTAAAAGCAGCCAAAGGAAAAAGGAAACTTATTTTGGGATCAGTTTTTTTCATATGTGGGTGAAACTGTTATCTTTGCACCTCTTATCCCTAATCTCATCATAGGTCGTGTGAAATGTAAAACCCCTGATAGAGTTTTTCTTCCAGATGGTAGCATCCGATCCATCATCAAATATAGGAAGCAGGCTAGTCAAGGACAGTCGGATGTCATGGGGGAGCCGCGGGCCTCAACATGTCTGTTTATATCATTGTAGGTCTCCCTTATGATAATGTTTGGGTCAATGGCATCCGGGTAATAGGTACGCATAGGTCCAAAGGGGCTCCAATCAGAGTCTCAAAAGGACATGCTCCTTTTATAAACAAAAACGGTAGTTTTTGCAATATAAATGTCACTAACAGAGTACATTGACTCTCAGATTACAGAGCTGGAAATGAACGAAAAGAATTAAAAATAACAACCCATATACTTTGATTTTTGTCTTTTTTCCACAGATCCACCATAGTTTGAAGTAGGAACATTTATGGATTTACTGTAACCTCTGAAAACCCAAACCATTTTCGTTATAGTGGAAAGAACAGTTTTTCCATGACCTCCAACTAAACTTGCTCAGGGAGTTCTGGTCCTTGCTCCAATAGAATTTATTACAACGTTGCTCAATAGTCGTATATATGGTTTTAGGGACTCTAGAGGAGGCCATAGAAAAAAGGGGGATGCTGGTGAGAACATGTTTGATTAAAATGATTTTAAAAGTTTGGGGAAGGCATTTATGCTTCCAGCTATTTAGTTTTTTATCAATACGAATAATGTAATGAGAAAAGTAATTTTTTTATTTCTCCAAGAAAAACGTTAACTCCCGCATACATGAAGGGGAAAGAACCACTTTTCATTTTTCAAATGTGATGAATCATGTTCATAGTACCTGGAGGAGTTTTGGGTCCCAAATAAATAGCAATTTTGTCAAAATTGATTTTTTGACCGGCACGCTTTTCATAAATAGCCAATGGATTGAACAATTTCCTTAAAGTGTGCTTATTGCCATTAGATAAAACAATCAGGTCATCAACATAAGATAAGTGTGAAATAATAAGGAGGCCCACATAAGAATAATAAAGTTTGCCTCCACCCATAGTATAAAGATGGTTGAGATTCTCAGCAACACTAATAAATAAAATAGGGGAAAGGGGGCCTCCTTGCTTAACACCGCGAGAAGGTTGGAAAAATCATTGATTGTTGATTAAAACAATCAATGAGATTTTAAAACAGAGAACCAGGTGCTATTGAGATTGTTGAAAATCAAATTTATAAACGACTGAAAGCCTAGATTGAGAAGAACAGATTTTACAAAAGGTCAGGAGATCCGCTCAAAAGCTTTCATCATATCAATTTTTTTTGGTAAATTTCATCACATCAATTTTTAAAAAGGCATTCTGACCCATGACTTTTTAGGCAGACAGTTAGTAACTTCTTTCATAGCTAAAATGGTATCTGAAATTTCTTTTCCTTTTTGAAAAGCACTTTGTTCTTTAGAAATAAATATGCCCAAAAGAGGAGTAACACGAGTAGTAAGAATAATAGTAAGGATTTATTGATCAAGTTACTCAAACTAATGGGTCTGAATTTTTGAAAGCAGGTATGCTGGTAATCCTTAAAAATAAAAGTACAAAAAAAAAGTAATAAAAGTAATAAAAGTATGACCAATGCTTTTAGGGATGGGAACCCCACAAAAGAACTCCCTCACAGCATTCAGGAGATCATCCTTTATGATCTCAAAACAAACCTGGTGAAAGTAACCATTAAAACCATCCAGACCTGAGGCACTGTTTTTACTGAGATCAAAGACCGTATTTTTAAGCTCATTCATGGTTAAAGGGGCAAGATGTGACACTGCACCCGAACGTCCTTGAAAATTCAATTTAAATTCCAAGCTTATGTATTGAATTTCCGAGTAATTGTAAAACGATTAATGTTTACGTAGTGCATGATTGAATATCGTACCGTTCAAACTCGTATATTAGTGTCGGGTTTTGAAAATACTTATTCGGGACTTATTAATAAATAAAAGAGCCCAACATTATCTAAATAGTGATACATAATCTTTCAAGACAATTTGAGGAAGGTCGGGCGGCCCAAACATTATTTCGGGCCCAACCTGCTAAAAATAGCAAGTATTCAAGAATGGCGTTCTAGACCCACTCGGGAGTGACCCACACGGCTAGTAGCCCAATAATATGTATGACAAATGTCAAAATAAGTGATAGAATGATTAGAGAATAATACAAATGCCTATAGCCCCATCTTTGACATTATTGAGCTAAATAATGAGAGTACTATTTTTCTTCTATGATACCCATCAAGTAAATTATTGAGATGAACCTACACATATTGGAGATCAATAATGTGATGAAGGAAGTTGACTTGTTGTACTGTAAATAAATTAGGATGAGTACAAAAAGGCATCTTTGACAAAAGATAAAACAATAGGACCCATCTTCCCATTTTTGGAAGTATTGGTAGATATTTTGGACTCCAAGTTGAATGGGATCAATTGGGAACCATTCCACATGGACTTAGCACCTGCAAAACAAATGAAAAGAGGTGAGAAGACTATATGGGGCGGACTCTTGGCTCACATGCACAAAAACTCCAAGAGAAAACAAAAGGGGGAGGTTCACCCCATATTTGATTGCAAACCAAATATCTCCCATGTTCTTTTGTGAGCCACATACTCTTTTAGAATGTTTAGGGTCTCCTAATACACTCCCCCTACACCCCATTCGAACCCCCAAAGAGATAAGAAAGCAAGGGAATCCACACAACCCAAGAGAGAAGGAAGGAGGAGAGCAGTCCGCAGGTTCGTTCTTCAGTGCGTAGCTCTGATTGTTTGAGCCATAACTTGAGATTTACTCATCCAAATAAGGCGTGCGAGATACCAAAAGAAATCTCTCAAGACGAGGAATCCGTGAAGGTCTGGTTTGCATCAATCGGAGTAGTCGAAGGCTTCCAAATCGACCGAGCAAAACACGACCTCGCAGAATACGTTTTTGTATTCAAAGTAAGTTTGAATCCAAAACCTTCCTCTCTATTGTCTAAACCATATAAATGATTGAATAACTATTATACACTGATTGAAGTGTATAAAATGTTATTATAAAGTGACTTTAATTGTTGGAAAAGTTAGATACTAATCTAGACAAAACCTTGAAAGGTTAGCACTAGTAAAAAACAGGCTTACAGTGACACTTTTATAGTGACACTTTTCTGATAAAATGTCATTAATGATACACAAGCGTCACTGATTTGTAACAAAAAAATTTAACAACCAAATAGTGACACTTTTTTTTTCAATACGGAACGTTTCACACTTGGGCCGGACTCGTGTGTGCAAACTTTTTTTAATGCCCAACACTTAGGTTTTTTCACATACCCATTTTAATTTACTCTATCTATTTTCGATCTTCTATTCCATAGCTCTACCCGCACTAACCATCCATTTTCTTCAATTTGAGAGCTCTACCCGCACTAACCCTAGGTATACTTCAAGATCGATCTTCTTTTCCGTCTTCTTGCAGACCAGAGATGGATCGATTTTTCTGTCGCTGACTAACTTCATCACCGTACTCCGTCGCTAATGTCTACCGACAGATTCATCGTCCAGAGCTACAACACGAACCGTTCCAAGAGGTCAATCGATTGTAGCAGTACTTAGTCACCCTTCTCCGTCGCCTTACTGCCAAGCCGCCTAACTCTGTCTTCTCGTCTTACAACTGGACTCAGCCACGGATACAGCTTCTTGGTTTGGAACTCTCCTGAATTTGCGCGACTTCTCCTCTCAATTTCAGCGACGAGCCTACTTCGCCTATGTATGTCATTCGTCTCTCTGTACTTCACTGTTTTTATTAAACTCATTTGATTCTAATTTCCAAGTGTGTAAGCCTGATTAAGTGTGTGCACTAAATTTCACCAACATTTCTTGATTAGCGTTAGTATTTACTCATGAGAATGATTTTCAAACCCTTATACATGATTTTAATGGTTCAAGCATTGATAAGAGTATTACCACTGTCAATTTTCGAGTGCTAAAGCATATTGCTCTCAAAATGCTTTTGTATTTTTATATAACTTTTGTGTGGATGGATTGCAATTATCAAATGATTTCTTTAGAGCTTCACAATGTTCATGAGGCATTGGAAGTAGCATATTTTCAGTGCTTATATTTGAAATCTGTAATGGGATGCATACTGGTGTTAGGGCTAGCATCCTTGTTTATTAAATTCATCTATAGTATTCAAGCTTTTCTTTGATTTGTTATGATAATTGAATTATTAAGTACCTCTGAGTGCATTTGTATTGTTTTAGGGGATTTGGGTGTATGCCTTTGGGATTAGAGGGCTGTTTCATTGAAGTTCGTTGATTAGTTAATATTGTCTCTAAGAATGAATCAACAAATGCTTTTCTTTCTTTCAGCTATGGTAGATAGGTATTGTTTGTTCTAATAGATCAATGATAAGGGGCATACAAATCTAATTTTCCTGATTTTTTAATGAAAACATCTCTGGGTGGTTTAGCCTCAACTGAATATTGTATTTCAGTTTGTTTTCCCTAATTCTCTTCATATGGATTTTTTTGGCATTTGATATCCCTGATTGCGTTGAATCGTTGTTATTTGAGTTGTTAATATTTACTGAACATTGCATGAGCAGTACACTCTCGGCCTTGTGAAGTTATAATAATAACTAGATTGTTATTTGTGAGTTATTGATGGTTAGAACAGTGGCGGATCGAAAAAAAGAAAGTATTGGGGGCAAAATAATTAAAGAAATACATCCAAACAAAAACTTAATAAAGTACATTTGAGAGTAGCTGGTATTATTAATCACCAATTTGATTACATGTTTTAACATATACTATGTGTTAAATAGGATATGGATGAAGATGAAGAGCAGCCTCTGCTACGGGCTCAAAGTTTTGAAAGACAGAATGTCAAAAACGATAGAAAACCTCTTTCGAAGTTTGAAAGCTCCAAGGAGGTAGCACACACATATAACTGTCTGCTTTGAGCATGAGAATACCTTAATTTTGAGTTTAATGTCTCCAACGATTGATAATGAATTGCATATTGAGTTATAAAATTATATGGATGAAATTTTAGTTGGAGTTTGATAAAACATGTTTAGATTTTTTTTTCACATGAACTTATTATAAACATAAAGGTAATGTAAACAAGAAATGAAATTGTATATCCTTCTTAGATATCTTCCTCAACCACCTGCTGCTAATGTCTCTTAGTATTAATCACCAATTTGATCACATGCTTAACTTATCTCTGTGTTACATAGGATGTGAATGAAGAGCTGGAGAGGTGTGGTCTGGTGGTTGTCAAAGAGAAGAGGGTAAAAATGAAAGCAAAAGCCCCAGTAAAAATGCAAAGGACTAGGTCGGTTGCCAAAAAGAGAAGAGGTCAAAGTGCTAACTTGCAGATGTTTTCCATTTTGGTTGAGAACTGTTTAGGTGATGAAGGCACAATCAGCCAAGATGCTGAAATATTTGGGTTCAAAACTAAATCTGTGTTTAACAAGGATGTTTGCCAGTTGGTCATCAACTTTGAGGAGGTTACAAACTCTATAGTTGAGATTTGGGCGAGGTAATAAGTTCCTATTTGATAATTTGAAGTAGTAGTTTGTACTTTTTTTTTTACTAAAAAGTTTGTACTTGTTCTAGCTAGATCATTAGTAACTTAATACTTCATTCAAATACTAGGTACCTGCACGAAGAAATGGTGAATGAAAGTGGGGAGATACTGGTTCAGTTTGGTACTTCTGTTGCGGTGTGCATACCAAAGAAGCCATCGCTGCAATCGGTTACAAGAAGGTCACAATACATAGCTGATCTTTTAGGCAATGCGTTGCTTGGACAGATCACATTAATCCCCTATAATACCGGGTAAATTATTGTCACGTATGGAAAATGTTGTCTTATTAAGCCAAGCTATCAATTTGGTGTAGATCTCACCCTTCCTACTACTTTGAGTGGAACATATTGGGTATGATTGGTTAGGTTTTAGATACCTCCGAGTTAGTTTTTCTAAGTTCCCAGCCAGATGCCAATAGATCAAGAACACTGGTTATCACTTGTCACAGATGTATCAGTAGTTAACTGTAGATGAGTTTTGTTTTACGTAAGGGTGTATGCTCATTTGCTCAATATTTATTTTGTATGAGATATTTATACACATGTGATATGTAGCAATCATTGGGTGTTGGTTGCAATTGACCTGGCAATGCAAACGGTGTATTACTTGGATTCTATAGGAGGATCTCCACCAGAAGATTTGGAAATAATAGTGAACCAGTTAAGTAAAATGCCAAGTTAAACGTTATATGTTTTTTGTGTGATATAATTCATAGGCCGTTTAAATTAAAGTTGTTTTTAATAATGGCATTATCTCTTATGTTTTCAGAGGAGTGAGGATTCATCACGCCTCAACTTCTAAGAACAGGATGAATCTGAAATGGGTGCGAGTCATGGTATGTGCATTTAATTTAAAGCTTGGAAGTAAAAAAATGGTGTACATTCATGCAATTTGCACATATTATCTGTGTAAAAAATGTAGTTGTGCTAATGATAGGAATAAACATATTGTTTCCCTAAATAAATATATATTCCTGCATTTCACATATGAAATTGTGTATATGCTTAGCGGTTTCTTTGAAAAATTGTTCTTTGCTGTCCATTTTTGTAATAGAGACTCGTAGAATATAACTCCAATCTGGCATTGTGAGTTTGGTTTTATATTTCAAGTCAGTGATGGTCCCGTTTGGATTAATATGTGCAGTGCCCTAAGCAAGCTGGAGCAATGGAGTGTGGTTATTTTGTTATGATGTATATGAAAGATATAGTATCAGATGTCAAAGTCTTGAAGCAAAATGTGAGTCATTTTGGAATCTTTGTTTTATTACTTCGATCTGTACTTTCAAATAAATGCTAATAATATAACTTGTAATTTGTTATTGAAGTTCTCTAAAATAAAGGAGTACACTGAAGGTGATATATTGGGAATACGTGAGGAGTGGGCTTCGTATGCAGCTACTTTGATAAGAAGTAAGTTTATAGTTCAAAAGTGAATAATATAAGTTTGATATTATATGAATGCGATGTCACATTGGTTCTGTTTTCAGACTTTAGTTCTGTTATGACATTTCAGTTTTAGTGTCATACATTGTATTTCATGCAGCCGTACCAACATTAATACAAATATAATGTTAGTTAGGGTGAAATGGAAACATGGAGCACATATGAACTCATAATGTTGTAGTTTTAGAGTACAAATGATTCTGAAAATGTTGATGTTTTAGTTTTAGAGTACACACGATCCAAAATGTGTTTATTATTGTATCATTAATAGGGTTTGTCAATCATTTTTCAGTGTTGATGGATGCCACTGCTATGAAGACTTGATGATGTGAAGACGATGTTTAATTCCGAATTGCATGTTATTGGCGTTGTGCAATTAATTTTGCTATATATATGTAGGACATGGACGCGTAGGCGGCTCACCTTTTGGGACTAACCGTGTAGTTGCTTAGAATTCCATTAACTCTGTTGTAAAATGATCACTTTGGTATTGGATGTTGCTGGATTTGTTGTCGAGGCTCCAGCCAGTAATTTTTGGGTTTGCCTACCTAGAATGCAAACATCCACTGCAATGTAGCTTTAGGTTTGAAATGAATATTGTATTTTAAATTGGTATTAAATTATATTTTGAGATTTAATGAAGTTTACTGAATATATTTCTAAATATTGATATTTGATGGTTTGAGATTTATAGGTTTACTGAATATAGAATTGGAATTTTCAAATTATAATTCATTTAAAATTTCTAAATTATAATTGTTATGCAGTGCTGAAACAATACAAAACAAAGTGATACCAAAGTGTCACTAAATTATCATTTTGCTTGGATGGAAAATATAATTGTGTGATACCACAGTGTCATTAGCATATGCGATACAAAAGTGTCGCAGAATTGTAGTGTCGCATATGTGTCACCGTATGGTGATACTTTAGTGTCACAATTTAGTGACAGTTTTTTAGTGTCACTAGCGCCCACCTTCAGTGACACTTTTTTAGTGTCACAGAAGCTTTTAGTGACACTAATTTGGTGTCACTGTAAGACCTTTTTCTAGTAGTGTAGGGAACGATTTCGTCGGGAAACACCCGTTCTAGGGACTATTTTTGTGTCTTCGGTTAGGAGTTGAACTAGCACTTTGAAGAGGCTGTTTAACACTCAATTCCAAGCAAGGAATCAGTCCTCAATCTTCCTTGGCCGAGGCTTTGGTCATTGGATCGAGAAGGAAAGTTTTAAAGCTCATTTGAGGTGAGGACCGACATCTAGTTGCTTACAACTTGTAGGTTATGCATGAGATTACCTAAATGCTTAAATCATGTTTTTGTGAATAAATATGCTTGAACATGATATGAATGATAAGTAATGAACTTGATCATGAATTGAAACCATATTGATGAATATGGGGTCATGTGAGATAGAAGTATGCTAATATGGTAAATTGACTTTTCCAACTCATGTATGAATGTTATGTGTATGTAAATGTATAATTGCATGACGATGCTTAACACATGGGAGGCTGCCACATATCTATTGATATGGAGGGGCTACCATTAATGATAAATGAGTTGCAGGAATATTCTTAATAGTATTGTGATGCTAGTTAAGGATTGCCCTAAATGTGTTAGAATCAAACTCAAGGTTTGAGTTTGTTTGTGATGAACTTGAATGAGACTCAAGTGTCAATTGTGAAATCATGGAGTAGGAGATTTATGGTGTGATATTATGAAGTAGGAGATCTATGGTGTGATTTATGAAGTAGGAGATCTATGGTGTGATTTTATGAAGTAGGAGATCTATGATATGATTACATGAAGTAGGAGATCTATGATGCGAGTGCATGATGATGTACTCGAGCCGAACTCTAGAAATGAGAAGTTATATTAGGGTTGGACCCTATGTATGTCATGACCATTAGTCACGGGGTTGGGAAATGTTTTGTGATAAACATGGGCCTTTGAGCCGACTACTTGACTTTATATAAAGTAAGTATATATATTTTGAAGGGCTAATTTGGGATTACAGCCTAAACTATATTATCACCCTATTTGAGGGTCTTGTGTGTGAAATACTTGTTGTATATCTATTAGATGCCTGCCACACCAGTACTTTATAGCCGTATAGAGTACTGACCCCTTCGGGGGCGTCCCACCACCATTTCAGGTTGAGGCTCGAGCTTGCTACCTGTGCCCGTTGCTCGGGTGATCCTTTGGAGAGAAGACGTGGTTCGTGCTTTCTCCATTCTGTTTTGAACAATATTAAACATGCTCATGGATATTTTACTATAGAGCCTGCGTGCTCATGAAATGCCTTGTGTGGCCTTCTTGTTTTAAACAAATGTTTTCCGCTGCGTTATGAATTACTTATTATGTTTGTTTATGGATGTATACGTGTGAATGATATTCAAGACGCCTTGTATAATATGAATGTGTTGGACTGCGGTTGACTATTCGTATTGTACGGCGGATTGTCGACGTGTCCGGGGAGGTCCGGGGCGTGACACAAGAAGAGAAATATTATCATCGTTAGTAGTGCAGTTAGGAAGAAACTGCAGGATAGTGTCAAAATAAGAGACATGAGGGGTCTCATCGTGGCTTAAAAGAGAGTCGAAGAAGTCAACAACCAGCTTACCAATGTCATCATTATCCTCTATCCAATTACCAAAAGTGTTTGATTTTGTGAATATGAAGTTTAGAATGGTTAGCCTTCACATAATTAAGAAAAAAAACAGAATTGGAATCACCATCTTTAATCTAGTTAATTCACTTAATTGTGGCTTTCTGTTTGTAAAAATTGGTGATATCATTCTGTTTGAGAACAAATTCAGCATGAGACCTTTTTAAAGCAGTAAGGTTTTCTAGATTATCATTTTCAAGAAGCTGAATTTCCTCAATGGAGAGATTATCCTCAGTTGTTTTGAGGTTTTGAAAAATGTTACCAAAATTAGAGTGATTCCAAACTTTTAGAGCCTTCTCAAGTCTTTTCAGTTTTTGTGTGAAAAGAAACATTCCCTAACTAGTGCAGGGATCTGACCGGGAAGTTTTTACCATGGTAAAGAAGTCTTTATGATTAGTCCATGAGCCCGTTTGGTAGCACCAAAATAGGCTGTGTTGGCTGATTTTGCTGAAATTTATGAAGTTCTGGCTGAAGTGGCTGCATTGGCTGATTCTGCTGATTTAAGAAACAAATATTTTTAAAATATATTTTATTAATAAAATAAAGAAAAAATTATATGTAAAAATAGTTAAAATGTTCATCTACAGTAACTTCAATCAATAAAGCCAGAAAAGTGACTTTAACCTTACTTTTTCTGCTTATTACACAATTCGGCACGCGAAAGCAAAAGTTACGTGTTTGGTGAAAAAGTTGGCTGATAAGCCTGATAAGCGGGAAAATGGTGTTACCAAACGGCCTCCACATATTTTGGAACTTGAAGGTAGTAGGATCCTAGGATGCCTCCACATATTTTGGAACTTGAAGGTAGTAGGATCCTAGGATGAGTGTTGGAGTTGTTTTTGGTAATTTGAAAGAAAATGAGGACAGTGGTCAGAGAGAATAAAGGGAAGTTTGGTGTAGGAAATTTTTAAATCGATTTGGAAATGAGAATGGTTCATAAGGATTCTGTCAAGTATGATGAAGTGTGACGATAATATGAAACAATCTATATTACTTTATAAATTAGTTTCTTACAAAACTTTATAAAATTAGTTATGAGAGTAGTTGACCCTTTAATTTTATCCCTGTGTATCCTTCTTATTTGTTCTTCCGAACCCACAAAATGGTTTACCATATTCTCCATTTCTCCCTATGTCTAATTTTATTTGCGATATAATATTTGTCTCATACTAAACTTAGTCAAATAAAAAAAAACTTAGTCAAATTATATGTATTAAAAACATCATTACTATTTCGAGGATAGGAGGCACTATTTTTATCTTGAGTATTAATACTAAAATTCAGGGATGGATGCGGAGACACTTATCTCCAACCCACAAGTCCTCCATTGAACGTACGTAACATATGTTGGGTGTGTTTCGGAAAATAAAGAAAATTAATTAAAATAAATTAATTAATTAAAATGACGAAAGAAAAACAAGAAAAGAGATGGAGCAGAATTTGTCAATTCTCGTGCTACGCACGATGTCCTTAAAACGTATTTGTTGCCTCCCACGGTGCTAGGAGCGTTGCAACAATAGTTTCCCAGGATACGATGACAACGAACTAGTGTTTGAGCACTCAAACAAAAGTTCCAGCGAACGAGAACAAAGACTGAACACAGAAGGAATTTTCAGAGTGCTAGCAGTGTGTTTTTAGAGCTAAAACGTGCATGGATTCGTGTAAAATCGTGTAAGAATGTGTGTTGTTGCAAACCACCTGCCAGCACTACTAGAAAATTGTCTTATAGTGACACTTTTGTAGTGACACTTTAAAGAAAATAGTGTCACTAAGAGATTTCGAACATTTAAGTGTCAGTATCTCATGACACTATAGTATCAACACACCTATTGATATTAAATAAAAATTAACGATACATTCCGCATTCACCCGCGCGCGACCTTCACTTAATTTTACTCGATTGATTGGATGGGTTTCCAGACTTGCTAAAAATATTCAATCCTCTCATCCTCTTATATTCTACCCGTAACTCTCTAACTACGATTGAAGAACCCTAGAGAAGGTTAAGCAGCCTGCTTCAATCAAGCCTTGCATATTCATCGCGGATGAGCGCCGTCTCCCTTAATCCGGTTCACTCCCATCATTAGATCTCCCCTGTCGTAGGTGAGAGGATCTCCAGAACCGCTGATTCAGAGGTTCGGTCCATACCTGGTCACCAGCTCGAATAAATGACCGGAGACAATGGCACTTTCGTGTAGAGACATCCCTGATGGAGCATCATCCTCCCGTCTCATTCTGATGCAACCAACGCGTCTGGTCGCTGCAGAAAAGATCGTTCACATGACTTTGCTTTAGCCCTAGCAGACTGATGGACTAAATTGGCAACTCCTGATCCTTTGCCTTTTCCTCGCGTTAATTTGTATATCATAGAGCTTGTTTTGTGAATTTGTTCATTAGATCGTGATTATTTTTCTGAGATTGAAAGGTTAAACTCTGGACCCCTTTCTTAGCTCTGCTTGGAAGGTGCTTGGTTAATTGTCTGAACCAGAAAAGAAATATGTATGTATTGTTGCTTTTTTAGTAGGCACCTTGGTTTCCCTAAAGAATGAATGATCTGTTATTTTCTTTCAGAATTGGAACATGTAGTTGGCATAACTGTGAAATCCTAAGAAAAGGGAGCGACAATTTCAAAGTTAGAGTTTGCTCCAATAACATCACCCACTATTAATTTGAGTTGCATTGATTATTAAACTCTTTATTCATTTTTTATATTTCCAGTACCTAAATCTATGAACAAGTACAGGTGTAATGCAGAATTATTAACTTCTGCTTCTGGGATTTGGAAGTCGTAGCCTTGAACTAAACTCTCTCATTAAACTAAAAAATATATTCTTATGCAGGAGGACCAAGTAGAGCAGGCTTGATTTGGGTGTGTATGATAATGTTATTGGCAATTTCACACACTATGGGGATCCTACTACCAGTGAAGAGCTTGCTGCAACTCAACTGAAGGAGAAGAATATCTATTCCACACCAAAGCAAGTTAGTATTCTTATGT